CTGAGGATGAGGCAGGCATGACCTGGCTGACTTGCCTTCAAAGACCTCTTACGGGGCTCAGAGAGTTACTCCTCTAACTAACCCTACTAGTGGGAGGCCAGGCCCAGAGAGGTGAGGGACATATCTGAGGACACTATCCCACAAAAATAGTTCTGACACTCATCTTCCCTCACTTCCCTGCAGTCCCCCAGGAAAGCTGAGAGGTTCACTGAGGAAAAGGCCATGTATAGTGTTGGGAGGGAATGGCCTAGTGGAAGTTGGGGGTTGGGAGGGTGGAGAGGGCTGAGGAAGCAGGAGTCTGGGAACTCCGCCACCCGCCAGTGATTCCCAAAGGAGCCCTGCTCCCTCCTAGGAACAGAGCCCATGGGGCAGGGCTGATTTGCCTGGGCTTGAGGAGCTCTTGTTGAGGTGCCTCTCAGGGTCAGCATAGCTATGATTGGCTCTGCCACCTTCCTAGCCCTGAGCCTCCATTTCCCCACCAGTCCAATGAGGATAATAGCAGTCACCCCAGTCTTTCCAGTGTGGTCTCACAGAGCCACCATACCAAGGGTGAGACAATAGCTCTTGTAAGCCGCAAAGCCCTAAAAAGAGAAGCAACTGCCTATTGATGGAGACATTTCAGTCAGAGAACTTGGGGACAGGGGACAGACCCCCAATCTCAGCCACTTCAACCAAGCCAGGGTCACTGCCCTGCCCTGTGGTTGCTGGAGGTGGAGAGTGGGGCAAAGCATCTATGTGATGGGAGAGGTTTGGTCAGGGACTCCATCAGCCCTGGAATCTGCCCTCCTGCCTACACTGACTCCCAGTCCCAGGCTGCCTGCCAGCTGCCTGCAATCACCATCCCCCACACCCTCCCCTCCATACATATACACACACAGCAACAGTTGCCCACCTCCCTCCCCAGCAGAGGCAGCTGCTACAGCCTCCATGCTGGAATCAAAATTGAATGAACATTTTCACAATGTCACCTCCTGCTGACGGTTCCTAATTGCATGTTGCAGCCATGTGATGGAGCCCAAGTTACACTAATTATGTCATTACCCTAATTAAGTAAATACCGTATGTGCTAATTGACTGAAATCTCTTCAGGGGGATGGGCAAAGGGAGAGGCCAAAGTCCCCTGGGCTGTCACATGTATGAGCAGAGGATAACAGATGCAGGGGAAGGGAGCATTCTCTTCTTGGTTCAGCAGGTCCTGCAGCCTCCCAAGTGGAGTTCAGGGAGGACCCTCAGGCTCTGCCCTAGCCAGACTGGCCTGTGGTCCAGGGAAGGAAGCAGAAGGTGCTGAACAGGTGGCCAGATACTCAAGTTAGAGGCTCAACTTTACCCTGACAGGTGGGATTTGAATAAGTCATTTTCTTCTCTCCAGTGGGTCCCCTTACACCCCCCACTTCAACCAGCCCAGAGCCTGTGGATTCTCAGGCATACTGGGACTCTCGTCAGAGTAACTCAACGTCCACACAGGACCAACCAAGCCACTGGCATCCATCTCTGGGCACACAGACATCCATGATTACCTGCCAGCCTGGGGCATCAGGAAAGAAGAAATGCTGATGACTAAGCAAAACCCTGGCTCCTGAGGACAGTATCAGTGTAAACAGCAAAGGACCAGACCGGGTTGGTGTTCCCTGGAAGCCAGTGAGTTCGATGCGCTGAGGAAGTCTGGGGGACTTCTTGGAGGAAGAAAGAAAGGGAGAAAAATCAGGGCTTCAGAGTTCAAATCATCTTTAAGGTGTGATCTTCTAAATGCCAGACTTCTAAACCATAACCTCTGGAGGAATGCGAGAAGGTGGCCTCACGGGCTGCCTTCACATGCAAATGGGACTCCAACCCATGTGGGGGCACAGAGGGATATAGAAGGAATGCCAGTCTGTGTCAGGGGCCATGCTGTAAGTCCCAGAGTAAAAGAATCACCCTTGTGCCCTATCTAAGCTAATTCACATGGACCAGCTGTTAAATGGCCACGAGGCCACGGGAAGGGCCCCAAAGGCAAGAGTTCCAGGCCAGGGCACTGGGGCTGGTGCCTCCAGCATCTGGGTCCTTTCACACCCACTCAGGACCAGGCAGTGCCGTCTCCCAAGTGTACCCAGGTGCCACAGCCCGGCTATCCCTGCTCTCCCAGCTCCACCCGCCTGCCTGCCACAGTCTTCACAGACATATGCTGCAGCTCCACACCCAGCAAACACCACCTGCTCCCCGGGTGGGCAATGGCTCCCTGCCTCCCAAACTGGAGAGGAGAAAAAGTAAGGGGGTGTGGGGCCCAGTCCAACAACCAAAGTGACCCTGGCCAAACCCTTTGTTCCCCAGCCCTCAGGCTCCCAATGGATGTGCTCTCAGTCACGGCCGGGGCCAGACCTCCCTTTATTCCACGCTACATGGTGTGGGCTTCCCTTGGCTGGTGCAGGAGGCAGAGATGTAAGAAATCATCTTTTCAGCTGTGACGTCTACAATTTACTCTCAAATAGGTCAGGAAAAAATTATGTGTGTGAACACACACACACACACACACACGACAAAATATCCACAATAGAAGAGTATATCCATGCCTTATACTATTCCGACAATGTGTCTATAATTTTGAAATGTCTTCTAAATAAAAGGTAGAAGGAAAGGAGAGAGGGAGCTGGAGGGAGATGGAGGAGGGAGGGAAGAAAGGGAAGGGATAAGGAAAGACAGAGTGGGGGGTGTCCTTTCCTGTCGTGGGGCTCCTGACTCCTAGAGAAAGCTGAACAGGTGGCAGCTGGGTTGAGGTGGCCAGAAGGGCTTCCCCAAGGGGCTGGTAGGGAAATGGGTTAGGCAGAGTTTAAGGGGGATCTAGCTCTGTCCCTTCACGCAGGGTGGGACCAGCGCTGACTCCCTCTCCCCGTCACAGCTTTAGGTAAGCCCACGGGTCCCTCTCCCTCTCCTGTTCCCCAAACAATGCTGGTACGCTGGAATTTCTATGAAGAATGTCCAGTGGGACAAGAAAGGGGACTTGGACAGAAGAGCTAGGAGAGTCTAGGAGGGCAGAATGTCTTGGGCCTTCTGGGCTGCTGAGAGAGGGACGAGACTAGACCAGCACAGGACAGTGTACCCCAGGGTGAGAAAGGGATGGGTTGGCTCTGGTCAAAGCCATCAACCTCTCCTGCTCCCCCACACCCCCCCAAAGCACTAACAGACTCCTGTTTCAGTAGCCCCAGCTGACTTCCCTAGTGCCCTTGCCTGTCACAGCAGCGCTGGGAAGCCCGGGGATTCATTCTTCATTAGGTCTCCATTAGGCAGCCCAAGAACTGCGGGGTGTGAAGCGGGAAGCCTCTGCTTAGGTGGGCTAGTTAAGGAGGCTCAGCTCTGGCCACACCACCCCCACTCCAGGCTCCTTACCACTTCCTATCCCCCTCCTTCGCCACTCCCTTCATCCTCTCTTCCCCTTCCCCATTGCAGCCTCCTTGAGGGTCCTAAATGCTCTTTCAGCACCAGGTCCCCAGCCTGGCTCCCGACCCCATCTAACCATCCCATCCCCCACAGTGACACCAGCTTCCAGATGTGTGGTCAATCACTGTATTGTGTGTTCTCTCCGAATGAAGAGGACCCCCCACCCCACCCCGCCCACTCTCAGCCCCTCCCCCTTGATCTCAGGTTGCTATTTCAGAGTCTGGACCTGCCCCCCATTCAGAAGACTGCCCAGGACTCTTCCGACTGGACTGCAGAGGTCAGCAGGGGCCAGACTTTCCACTCGGACATCTTCGTTCGGACACCTTTGTTCTTCTCGGCCTTCGTCCCTGGCCCCTCACCTGACTGCTCACCTCTCCCTCCCATTGCCCTTGGTGGCTTTTTGCCCACTCGAGTCCTCTTGGTTTCCCCGAGACCAGAAACTGGCATGGGACGGGGTGGGGCCCCTCCGCCGGCTGCCTGCTCCCTGCAGCCATGCCTCTCACCCCGGCTGCCTCTCCAGTCCCGGTCCCGCCCCCTCCACAGTCTCTCCTCTCCCAGTCTGGCCCCTCACCTCCTCCCCCTCCCCATTTCCTCTTCCCTCTTTCCCTGGCCCTTCGGTGCCGGGATGTCAGGCTTTATCTCAGGGCGCGTTCTCCTCCCCTCCCCTCTTCTCTCTCATCCTCTCCCTTCTCTTCCCCCTCCAGCCTCCACTCCTTCGCCTGCTCGCTGCTTACCCTCTCCCTCTCCCGCTGCCCCCCTCTTTCTCCCCCACCTCTTTGTTTCAGCTGAGAACCGGCTCCTCGGGACAGTTCCCACACTGCAGTGCCTCTGGTGAGAAGACCGCACCGCCGAGGTGAGCCGGCATCGGACTGGGAGCTCTGGGGGTGGGCAGATGGGTAGAGTGGGCAGTCCAGCCACTACCCACGACCGCTGCTTTGCCCAGGGCAGTGGGAGCAGCAGTCAGAGTGCCAGCCTCAGATGCCCTGCGGTCAGGAGGAGCCAGGGCAGAGAGGGGTAGCCCGTTGGCTGCATGCAGGGGAGGAAAGGGGGGCAAAACTGGTTTGGGAGCTGGCCAGCTCTGTCCCTGCCCCGTGCCTGGCTTCTGCAGGTGGCCCTGCCCGGAGGGAGACCCAACTGGGCGGGCTGGAGCTGGGCTGCCTGTGAGGGTTTGAATGTGACCAGACCTGGAGTCCAGGGCTCAGAACCCTGCCTCTGGCTGGGCTGTGGCTGCGAGGCTGCTGGTAGCAGCAGGCGCTGTCCATGGGACTGTGACCCTTTACAAGTGCCGGTCCCTGGAGAGGTCTTGATTACTGGTCAAGGACATGCTAGGGCTGCTTCCACTGCTCAGGAGGCAGGGCATCCAAAGAAGGAGAGCCTGGGTATCCAAGCTACTGACCCCTAGACCCAGAGATCCACATGGAGGGAAAGGTACTTCATCCTTCCATAGAGTCTCTTGACAAACTCCCCTAAGATAGGGTTCCCAGGACAGCTTTACCCAGAGTTGCCAACAGTACCGATTCAGGCCAGAGCTGAGATGTTGGTGTGGTCAGTTTCCTGGGGTGAGCTGACTTGGGGAGGAAGGTGGGGGGGGGGGGTGGAGAACAGGTGGAGACAGAATCCTGGCTCTTGAATACAGCTACAAGTGTGATTATTGGAGATGACCCAGGGTACAAGGAGAGCCAGAGACCTTGAAGCTGGGCAGGTGTGTGGGGGGGGGGAGTGGATAGAAGGGGCCCTGCCACCCCCTACTTACTGGATCTGAGGATGGAATGACAGAGCTGGAGAGACAAGAGCACTGCCCACACTTCCCCCAGAGAGTGAGCAAGGTCGCTCTGCTGGCTGCCAGAGGAGGGAGCAGCAAAGGCCAGGAGTGTGAGACCAGAGGGGATCTTCCCAATGGGGACATCTTGGGGGACCAGCCCCTGGCTATCTGGCCACAGTAGGGCCAAGCCAGGGCCTTCGTTTCCTTGAATTCTCAGGGAGCCAGCAGCGGACAAGATCATGGTAGGTAACAATCCCATGAGGCAAAGCCTCTAAAGGCATTTGTTCTCCTAGGGCTAGGCCAACGGGACACTTGTTTTGGAGGCCAACTCTGCCTCACTCTCTTCCCTGACCACAGCCTCTTGGTCTGAGCAGCTCAGCAACCCTTCCCAGATGGAAAAGTGTTAGAGGTGGAATCAGAGCTGTGGGCATAAGCTAATGGGGACCAAGTGCAGAGGTTTAGGAGGTGCACCCCAGTTTGCCCCATCCAGTCTCTACATATCCAAGGGAAGCCTGAGCCAGGGAAAGTAGGAAAGCATAGTCTCAGGACTGGTCCCAATGGTCATCAGGGAGGGGGCGATTCTCAGACATTCAGAAAGGCCACCTCTCCTGGCCTGGGCACAGCTCACTACACTCCACGGTCCTATCACTCACAAGCAGCCTAAGTCACTGGCTTCCCCGCCACTCAAGGTGTGTTGGTGTCCCCCTACCCCTAGCACACCCCAAATCTTCTCAAGTAATGATTCCCAACCTGGGGTCAAGCTGGTTCTTGCCCACCCCATCTCTCTCACACGTGATCCAGATCCAGAGGGAAGCAAGCTACCCTGTCCATTTTTCTGAGACTTGATGGGGACTCTCTCTCAGGCTGGGTCAATTCTTGTTCCAGCTGACCCCCTCAGTTCTGTAACTCTGCCAGTCATTCAAGACTCAAATACCACCCCCTGCAAGTGCCCATCCAGTGCCAGAGGGCAGTACTCTCTCAGCCTCAGTGGACACGAAGGCCTTACTGGCCTCTGCCCTGAACTTCACCATAGCAGAAGCCAACAACTCCTTTTTCCCCTTCCGCCCCAAGTCCTCCACTTCCACAGAGCTTTCCTACCCAGATGCCCTCGAAGCTCACACCTCCCCAGAGAGGGGAGTAGGACAAGGATGGTGTCCCTATTAGACAGTGGGGAGGCCTGAAGATAGGAAAGTGACAAGGCAAGTTAAGGACTTAGGACCTGACTCCCACTCTCTGCTCCTTCCAGGCCCTTTAACTGCGACCCTGGTGAGAGCCTACATGAGGACGGGAGCTGTGCTCACCAGAATGTCCACCAGCTGCCCATCTTTCTGTCCCTCAAATTCTCAAGGCCCAATGACATTCCCAGGGACAGAGTGGCTAGGTTACTCCCAGGGCTCTTTGAGCCAGGGCTGCCAGCCTTGATTTCAAAGTAGGCATCTTCAGGATCACCTGGGCTGGCAGACGGCTGTATGAGGCTGCAGGGGGAGCGAGCAGAGGGGAGGTAGGAGGGGGTTCCCAAGCCTGATAATAATATACCTCTCACTCACCTGCAACCCCCTTCCCCTCCTTGCTTGTCCCCACCCCTCACCCATGCAGTAAGGCAGGCAGGCCTCAGCATCAGTCTTCAAACAGCCTCGTGGCATCACCCCTCACTTAAATTCTCATGACACTAGTCCCCGCTGTCAAGGTGAGATTGGATCCCCTTGGCCAGGCTCAGAAAATTCTTTGCCAGCTGGCCTGTCGGCCTCTATGGCCTCTTTGCCCAATTCACTTCATCATATCCCCAATACTCCAACCATACCTAACTCACTCACTCTAGCACAGAGCAGAGCATGGCTCAGAGGTCCACTTAGTGATGAGTCATGGGCTGAGCAGAACACACATGCCCACACGTGTACCCAGGCACACACATGCAGATGTGCAGAGACACAGACACACACTGTTGGGTAGAAATTCGCCACCCAATTGCAGGTGGTCTTCTGCCAAGTCACACGCCTAAGGGAGCTGTGAAACCTGACCCAAGAAGGTACTGACAGATCTGCTTTATGGGCCTCGAGAGAGGCCACATGTGTTCATGTCGCCAATCCAAGCCCCTGAGCAACAGCAGGCAGGGAGCAGCGGGCCCCAGAGCCTCTCCAGAGAGAGGGCAGAGGGTGGTCAAGCACATCCCAACCAGATTCTCACCCTGGTCTGCAGCAGCCTTGCTGTGTACCCCAGACAAACTACCTTTCTTCTCTTGATAGTGGTGTCCCGGCTATAAAACAAAGGGATTTGGATTAACTGACACCTAAGGGCTATGCAGGGCCCACTGCCCAGCTGCTCTCAGCGCATGCCAAGTGCAGAGAGTGGAGGGATCTGTGAGAATGGACAGTTAGGGGGCTGGGGGGGCAGACAAGCTCCATGGCAAAAGCCTCGAGCTGGGCCAGGACAATCTCAAGGAGTGGAGATGAGGTGAGCAAGGGCCACAGGGATCTGAGCCAGGAGAGACCCAAGCCAAAAGCCAAGGATGGGAGCAATCATTACAACCCATAATTGACATTTATGGAGCCACTAAGTCCTACTGAGCACATACTATGTAGGATTTATATTTTCACCGAGGGTGTAGCCAAATATATCCTTTCTAACCCAGTGGGTATCAAGTGAGCAAATCTAATGGGTTAGACCCAATCCTGTCCGTGGGCTCCTGGCCCCCACAAATAGAGGTGAGGGCAGGGCCAGGGTAACATAGGGGGGAGCCTCCACCAAGACCCCACCCACACTCAAACTCCTCACCAGGTATATAAGCAGCCAAGTACACATCCCATGTTGTATCTGTGTGCATGCCCGCCCCCCTCCACACACACACACGCACGTGACATGGCAGATAGGTCCCTGCCCCAACCACAGCCCTCCCATCCTGCTCTTGTCTGGAACTTGACCCCAGGTGCTGACACTCATGTTCCCAAGGGTGAAGATGGAGGCAGGCTCAGCGTAACTAGAAGTTGCAGAGGAAGACGAGGGCACAGGCACTACCACATGGGCTAATATCCCAACACTATGACCCTGGGCAGTGGAAATTCCAGGCCAGGACAGAAGAGAAGTGGTGTCACTGCATCACAGAGTAGTAAAAACTCCCCCTTTCCCTAAACTCTCTGGCCCCCAGAAGCTGGTTGGCCTTGCTCAACTCTCTCCCAAGCCCCAGGCTGACCTGTGAGTGACATCCCTCCCCAGATCATGAACCATCTCAAGCTGGGATGTCTAAAGCCCAAGTAGGGAGGGAAGGCTCTTGCCAGAGGGAGGACATGCAAGTGCTGGCCCAGAGTCCCTTCCCACCCTGAGAGGAGGGGCCAGTTAGGGTGGAAGGGGAGACCAGCAGGAGCAGCCCCAGGCCTCGCTGTTCTCTATGGCTTTTTATTCCTATGTGATTCTACTGCTCACTCATATAGGGATTGGAGCCGTGGCGCACGGCGAGGGTGGCCAGCAGAGGGCTTGGATACTGGGCAAGGGAGCCAAGGCGAGCCAAGACAGCACGGCCCTTTCCTCTCCTAGCACAGGCTGCTAACCTGGCCAAGGGAGCCACTCCCCTGTTGCCCTCCTCCCGTTGTTCTCTTCCCCACCAACTGAAATGGGGACTGAGGAAGCTACTAGATCCCCCCTGCAAGACTGGAGAACTGAACTGAGTCCCCAGAGAAATGGCTGAAGGAACTGAGGATGTTCATCCTGAGAAATAGGACCGGCACAAGGAAACAAGGACAGCTTCCTGTGTGGTCAGAGTAGCCCCTGGATAAACAGAGGGAGGCTCAACCAAAGAAAGAGCAGGCCGTGGTTAAGGGCTGTCCTAGGACAAAAGGGCCGGGTGTCCCTGGTGGCTGGTAGTAAATATCCACCCAGCAAGGCATACAGCAGATGCTGGAGAGACTGTGGCACGGATGCGACAGGGGAGGCTCATGGTTGGATAGTGGCCTGGGGTTTCTGCTCACCCACGATGAGCATGACAGGAACTAGGCTCAACATAAAGCAAGTGCTAGGTATGGCCTGCAGAGAAGGCGTGAGAAATCCAGGCACTGAAGCTGTCATCTGACCCCACTTCTCGCCCCAATGGTTTCCCTCAAGTGTTTGCTCTGAGGGAAGATGCATGGAGAACCATAGTGTGGTCCATTTTATTTTCAATCTGTGCATCACCCCACAGAAAAATACAGGCTTGGGAGCTCAGCAGAAGAGCTGCCCCAGGGAAAAAACCCGAGAACAGCAAACTGGTAAAGGGGCTTGCCCTGCTCCTCAGGGGTACCTGCTGCTATGGCAGAAAGCAGGGGTGGAAGAGCACCCCAATCTGCCAATCTGGTTGAGTGAGGATGGCTATAAAGCGGAGGCCCTGGGTGGGAGGTGGGAGAGCCAACCAAGCAGCCAAGGCCAAGGAGGGGAGAGGTGCTAAGGCCTAGTACAGCCCTAGGGACCAACCTTGTCACCCCCGGACCTCGCCCTTGTAGGCCTCCTCTGGACTCCCAAAATATGACCTATGCTATCACCGTGGCCACAGGAACAGGAGGTGGGTGTCCATGACATTGGTGCCGGTCATCCCTGTGCGTAGCAGGTGTGACCCACCCTGGAAGCGGCAGAAGAAGGTATGTGAGTCATTGTGGGCTAGGAAGGTGGCCACATCCAGGTCCTCTGCAGCAGCCTGGCTGGCAAGCTCAGCAGTGACCCAAGCCCCAGCTGCCTCTGTGGGCCCATCCTGCCCATCAGTGCCACCGCTCAAAAACAGCACATTAATAGGCCCCAGAGGCCAGCGTCCCAGCTCCACTCCAACACGCAGGGCCAGTTCCTGGTTCCGGCCCCCCCTGCCCAAGCCCTGCAACTGCACGGTGGGCTCTCCACCAGCCAGCAGGCAGATGGGCCCCTTGGCCTCTGCCACAGCCTTCAGAGAGTCCTTCAGCTGCAAGTCCGGGAGCTGAAGCTCAGTCGCGAGCTCATGGAGCTGCGTGTCCTCCTCCACAAGGGTTTCAGTCCCAGTATGGGAGAGGCAAGCTCCAGCCACTCTGGCTAACAGCCCGTAGAACTGGGCCACCCTTTTCACATCGCCCTGCATGGCTGCGGTCAGCACCACAGCTCGGTATCCCAGCGCTTCAGCCTGCTGCTGGGTCTCAGCCAGTGCCATTGCGTTTGAGCCAATAATCACATTGAGGACATGCCCGCAGGTGTGTGGCCCATGGGGGTCAGAGTCGGCCTGAGCCAGCACAGTCTTCACAGAACGCGGCAAGTCAGCACGAAGGTTGTAGCGATTGAGGATGTGCAGGGAATCTTGCACGCTGTGGACACTGGCCACAGTGGGTCCACTGGCGATGAACTCCAGAGGGTCCCCCACCACGTCTGACAGAATCAGGCTCACCACCTAGGGAGGGGTCACAGAGGCCACGCTAAGGCCCACCTGGTCCTTTCCCCAGAGTCCACAAGGACACCCTGGCCCTGTGTGTCTACATACTCTCATACCAGTCAGTGGGTTTCCTCACAGGTTTCTAACCCTTCTCCTGGAGGTTCACTAGGCCATGCAGACTCCCCTCATCCCTTCTGTAGCCCCTCTCAGTCAGCCCTGGAATCCCATACCAGGCCCCTGCCAATCTGTCTACTGTGCTAAGTTTTCATTTCCCTGCTATATTTGGGCCTGGCTCCACCAGCCCAGGGAGCCTACGGAAAAAGTACCTACGCACCTGGGCAGGGTAGGCGACCTGCGCCAGTCCACCACCCTCAGCTGGGATAAGGCCTTCCGAATGGTGTTCAGCTCCTGGATAGTGGCTCCTCGGGCTGCCAGCAACTTGGTAAGTGTCTGCTTCTCCTCCAGTGTGATGGGTGGGATGGGAGCGGGCAGGAGAGCTGAGCCCCCACCTATAAAGACAATGAAGACATCTAGGAGGACAGGGATGGCCAAAGGAGGGCCTCACCCAGCCACCAGGTAGCCAGTTCCACTTTAAGGAAGCAAGGTAGGGTTAGAGTGCCCCCATGTGGACATTCAATGACTATATATGGCCACCATATCCTGGGCACCTGAGGTTGCATCCTGACTCAGAGTAGCCCAGGTCCCAGAAGGTACTGGAAGAACCATTGCTTAAGAGCTTGGAATAGAGGGAAGACCAGGTGGAAACAGTGGAAGACCAAGAAGAGGGCTCTGGAGCAGCCGGAGACCTGGGTTCTAGCCCTGGGTGACACTGGTGCAGACAACAGCAGTAATAGTGACATTTTCCTTATGAGGCTGAGTTAGGTTCTCCCTATGTACCCTCAAAGGGTCACCCAACAAGGTCACTCAAAAGGAGGAATCCACAGCTCAGGGGAGGCCAGACAAACAGCCCAGGACTACCCAGAAGTCAGCCATGCAGGTTCTTCACTGCCTCCCTCACTCTGTGATCCTGGGGGCTCAGACCAACAGTTTTTTGAAGACCTGATATTTGTCGCACACACACCCCAACTGTCCTGAACCAATCTGGCAGCCACACCTGAGATGAGCACAAGCAGCAGATCATCAGCTGTGAGACCTCTGGCCAGCTGCTGGATGGCTAGTGCAGCCCGTAGTGCATCACGGTCCGGCAGGTTGTGCTCTGCACCCTCAAATACCTGGATACGGCTGTGTGGCTTCAACAGCATCTCCCTGAGAAGTGATAGGGCATAAAGCAAGAGATGGGGTGGGCTCCTCTCCTCCACCTGATTTCCCAGCCTGTGTACAGGAGTAAAAAGGGGCACTAATAGGATGCCCACCGATAACCTCCCCCCCACAAATTAGGCCAGATCCAGAATAATAAGTAAGCTGGTGAGAGAGGGAAGCCTAAATCCAGCTTATGCCTGGGACCAGGTTTCCCTCCAGATGGACAGTGGGGAGCAGCCCCCCATGGTTCCTTACTGCTTGCCAGCATGCTCCAAGGTCGCACGGATCCCTCTGGGAACGCTGATCACGCCCTGTACGAGATGATGGCCCAGTAGCTCCTCAGCAGCAGCTGCCATTCCCAGCACAGCCTTACCAAAGCCCACCAGGTAAAGGTTTTGCCGCAGTTGAAAGCTCCGGTCCCGCACCTTCAGCTGCCCACTATCAGGATCGAAGGATAGTGCCCGGTGCAACATGGGGCCTGGCAGCACAGCACCCACAGAGCTTTCAAATAGCTGCCGTGCCAGCTTTGGTAGGGCCATGCCACTGGCCATTCGGGTTGCTGGACTCCCCCAGAACCGCTGGCGCAAGAAGGCTCGGGCCAAACAGGGCAGGACCTGCAGGGCTGCAGCCATGCCCCACTGATCTCAGCACCACCTGGCATCCATGCCTGCCTAGGGGGAAGGAAAGCACTAGTGATGCTGCTGCAAGGCCAGAGATAGGCGGCCCACCACAGCCACCCTCTGAGGGCTCAGGGCCAGTGGACCCCACAGCTGCTGCTGCAAGCACAGGCCACTTGTCAGTCCGAGGAGACTTCCTGAGGTCCACAGTTGCCTGATCTCACTCCAGTCCTTGGACCCCAGCCCTGCCACCCAGCCATGTCCTCCTCTTCTGCAGCCTACACATAGGCCCTCTGGACACTCTGCCCTGAGTCCAAAGGTCCTGTTGGCTGAGCCTTCCTCCTAGGTCACCTCCTCTAACTGAGAGTTAATTATTCACAGAGGAAGCTACTCCAATCAGTGGAGTTCTGGCCTCCCCCTTCCCCACCCCCCTGCACTTTCAAGCCCTCACCAATGGGTAACACCTCTTTCTGGCACTCCTTCCTTGCCTATTTACCACTTCTCTTGCCAGGAGACTGCTGGCTGTCCCACCACTTGACCCTGAGCCTGCTGACCTCCAGCCTGCTCTACTGCATTAGCTCATGAGTCTAGGCTGGGAAGCTTGAGAAGGCTAGGTCTGTGTGGGGAGGCTACAGGTTTACCAGGACACTGACAGGTAGGCCCAGAGTACATTCAGGGTATACAGCCTAAGGAATCTCAGCAATCCAGACCTGCAAGGGAGTCAGGTTCAAATGTCTGGCTCACGGTGAAACCTTGAAGAAGTCCCTAGATACCACAGGAGGCCCCACAGCACAGGCCCAAGCTACAGGAAAGGATGATGCCCTCCTACCCACATGGCTGGCCAGACCCACCTCTGGCCAGATTTTGGTTCCAACATAACAAAGCTTTGGTCACACCACCTCTGGGAAATTTAAGTGGCTGGAGCAGGCAAAGGGTAACCTCTCACAGCTAAACCTAAATAATCATTCCTCCCTGGGAAGGGTAAAGGTTAAAGAAGGCCAGGAGGCAATATAAGAGTTTAGGGACAGCAAAATTCCAAAAAGCTCATTTCATGAAAGGCATCTACTTTAGTGAACACCCACCATAATAAGTGCCACAGGCTGACTACAGCAGCAGGTGTGGACAGAACAAAGGAAGGCGGCTGAGGATCAGGTTCTAGCAATAACCACAGGTTTTCTGAGGGGCTGGGAGGGCTGCCTTTTTCTCCCTGGGTTTCATGTGCAAAAGGTGGGGTGGGGTGAAACTATGATAAACACTCTCCCTTTGGCATCCTTGGGCTCTCTTAAGTTTTCCACAGTTAACACAGAACATCTGGACCCAAAAACCAGTATCGCCCACACTCAAAAACCTAGCAAATACTAGCCCTCAGCCACTCAGACTGCATGGTTCTGTTTTCCCATGAGAAAGCTAACCCTGCTTCACTCCAGTTGTGAAAGGGAACACAGAAGGTGCCACCATGAAACTGGTCCCAGCTTTTGCCAAGGGGCCCTGGGGCTGGCCCATTAGATTGGGAACATCTAGCAATAGCTGATTTTGACATTTTATACCTATTTCTCACAGGTACAAAGCTCTAGAAACGGGTTCACTACTGGAAACAGGAGTCCAGGGCAGGGGGACGCTCAAGGCTAAGGTTGCCAGATAAGAAAGATAGAGGGCGTCCAATTAAATTTGCATTTCAGATAAACAACATAATTTTATAGGTGTATTCCAAATAGTGTATGAAACATACTCATACTTTTTTGTAAAGATATGTCCCAAATATTGTACAGGCTATATACTTACACTAAAAATAATCCTCGTTTACCTGAAATTTAACTAGACGTCCTGTATTTTTATGTGCTAAATCCAGCAAATCCATTCGATACCGCCTTTCCTAAAACCCCGGGCCCTCCGGTGCAAAACCCGAAAATACCGACAATATAGGTCCTGACCCCTTCCCGCCACCAGGTGGGGCAGGAGCTATTTCCGGGCTTTGCCTGCCCTCACATGCCCCGGATGTGACGTCATCCCCAGGCCAGCGCCTCAGGCGTTCGAGAAGGAAAAATGGTTGCCGTGTAATGACCGGGTGGGTGGCCCGAGTAATAAGAGCTCTGGACCGCGTCGCCAGCCCAAAGACTGCTTTCACAGGACCTTTGGCGCGGACTTACCACCGCACGCTCCGGTGGCAGCGTCCAGGGCGGGAGGCCGGAAGTACTTGGGATGGGCGGGGCGAAAGGCGGAAGTGTGGGTTCGTGGGGCGGGGTTGAGATGCCAAATGTAAATTATTGTGGGAGGGGGCCTGGGAATATATCCAGCAACAGGAGTAGGGCATTGGCACCTATCCCACCATCAAGAGAACTCGATGGGAAAATGAGTAAGTATAAGAAAGTGAAAATCAAAATCAACAAAAAACTATGAACCAGAGACACTCTATGGGGGGATGGGGGACGGGGAGGGGAGGGATTGGGGTCAAAATAAGCGGGTTGCAGTTGTATGGGGAATACAAAAATAAAATTAAAAAAAAAAAAAAAGAGAACTCGATGGAGTCACCTTCAGGCCTGCCTTTTTTCCCCCCTTTTTCAAAATAAGATTTATTTATGCATACAAGCACTGGGGTGTAAACCAGAGATGGGGGGGTGAGAGGATTCACCAGAAAGCAGGGAGCAGAACAGGCAGATCTACTGAAATACACTGCTGAGGGAAGCAGTGGGCGAGGCAGGAGAGGTCTGCTGTGCCATGTGGGTTGCACTGTGGCCAGCCAGAGATTCGTGCTGCAGAGGCTGGCGAGAGCTTGATAGCGCTGTCTTTAACCCCTTAGTCACCAGGGAGGCCCGGGCTTCAGTCTTTTCATCTCCACAATGAGGGTAATAATCCCCTACTCACCAGATTGCTATATTCCTCCCCCTTGTCATTCTATTTGATCCAACCAATCAGCAAATACATTCCCAGCCTCAGTTAGGTACCTGGCACTGGACTAGTGAGCAAAGGGGCTGAGAGTCACTACTCCCCACTTGTGTTTCTGGTACCAGATTAAGTCATTTTTCATCCTTCCCCACTGCAATAATCCACAACAATTTACTGGTGTTTCTCCCCTATTCTCCACTGGGCGACCAAATAACACCTTTGACTCAATGAGAGAGTTCTGTTGCGTGATCCTGGAGCACACAAGCTGGGTGTAAAATACGAATGACCTTGAGCCTCCCTCACTGCCCCAGTTCTGACCGTGCCATCCTGAGCTGGCCTTGATGCCTTCCAAAATTCAAAATACAAGTCCTGACAAGATTCCAAAGACACAGGAGAGTATAATATTGTTTTACTGATATTTTCTTGGGGAGATGGGGGAGGGAGTTACATCATAAATCATACAATAGACTTCCTAAAAATCTTTTTTTTATTAAAGATTTATTTATTTATTTATTTATTTATTTTTTTATTTTATTTTACAAGCACTGGGTACAGCCAGAAGCGCGGGAGGGTGAGAGAATTCACCAGAGCCAGAGGGGAGAGCAGAGCAGGTAGACTGAAGAAGTACACTGCTGATGGGGAGCAGCGGGCAGCAGGAGAGGTCTGTGCGCCATGTGGACCCTCCTCCGGTGTCCGGGGAGCAGCCGGGGATCGAACCGGCGCTGCAGAGGCTGCTGGCAGCTTCGCAACCCAGTGCTCAACCGCTGTGCCACCGGGGAGGCCCCCTAAAAATCTTTTGAAACATATTTCTCTCTTCCGTTGAGCAGGTGTCACATCTCTCCATAGGTCCCCAAGACATGTACTACTCTAGTCATTACTTTCCTGTCTCCCTGGATTTTTCTTTCCTTTTAGAAGAGAGTACTTTTTATTCTTTATCAACCTCTCTTCCCCATCCTATTATCAAAACAAAGGCACCTTCAGTAGGATCTTCCCTTTTTATTTTTTAAAGATTTATTTATTTATTTGTTTGTTTGTTTGTTTGTTTATTTATTTATTATACAAGAACCGGGGGACAGGCCAGATGCGCAGGAGGGTGAGAGAATTCACCAGAGCGGGGAACAGAACAGGCAGACTGACGAAATACACTGCTGAGGGAGCAGCGGGCGAGACAGGTGAGATCTGCTGCACCATGTGGGACCCTCCCCGGCCGGCCAGGATTCAACCAGCACTGCAGAGCCTGGGGACAGCTTCAAGCGCAGTGCTCAACTGCCTGCACCACCAGGGGAGGCCCAAGGATCTTCCCCTTTTAGATGTGAGGAGATTGTACAGCAGGCTCTTGAATAACTTTGTTTTGTTTAACATTTCCTTATAAACTCGAGGAAAAAAATCTATTCGTAGTTGGGACCACCTTCTAAGTAGAATTGCATGTTCTTCCCATGTCTATATGGGTTTTCTCCAGGTATTCCAGTTTCCCCCCACATCCTAAAGGTGTGTCCTTAGGATAACTGGCATGTCTTAATTGTCCCAGTCTGAATAAGAGTGGGTGTTTTATGAGTGCACCTGCTTATAGAAGGGCATCCCATCCAGAGTCGGTTCCTGTTGTAGCTCTGAGCTGCTGGAACAGGTTCTGGCCACTCATGACCCTAACATGGAATAAACAGGTTGGAAAATGAGTGAATAGATACAAATTATTGTTTAATATTAGAAGTGTTTTTGAGTTTTTATTTAGGTCTGGTGGGTGGGTAAATAGGAAAAGGGGGAAATGGCCTGATAAAGGATAAAACTGGACTTTCAGTTGTGAATATCATGTAATATAGACACTTCTTGATTCTTTGTATCAGTCTTGGATTCTGTGGCAAACAGATTTTACTCCATCAGTTCATGTGGCTTCTAAGAGTCCCTCACCTTTTATTGCATCTTAATAGTGACAGGAGAGGGCCTCCCCTGGTGGCGCAGCAGTTGCGCGCTGGGCTGCTGAGGCTGCCTGCAGCCTCTGCAGCGCTGGTTCGTTCCCCGGCTGCGGGTGCTGGCGAGGGTCCCACCAAAAAAAAAAAAAAAAAAAAAAAGTGACAGGAGAGAGAGAACTGATAGCAAGAATTCTGGACCTACGAGAAAGGTAAGATTGATTTAGAAACGAAAACTGAAAATAGTGAATATGTACATGTTCAGTCTTTTCTTCAATAAGGTGAACTTAGTTTGGTTAATTCAACTTGAACTGTATTGTGAATAACTATTAGTTCATCCGTAAGTGAAAAGTTCTGCCAGCTTAAAATTCACCATGAAAAAAAAAGCAGTGATTTTTTTTTTTTTTTTCATGCAAAACCTGAGATAAGTCAGAGGGTTGAGACACAGGGCAAGCTAGAAATTAGGCAGTTTTAGGGACAGTGCAGGAGGGGACCTCTGAAGAATTTAGGGAGGCTTCAGAAATAAGGACAACCAAGGGAATGTAACCAAGTCCACTAGGAAAAACAAACATCTCAGGACCAAGGACACATTGTTAATGCTGGTCCTGGTTTTCTTCAGGTGGTAAAAGGAGGCAGAGATTGGAGAAATGGAGAGTGGTTTAATTTATGGACAAATTAGAAGGGCAGCTGTTTAACTTCAATGCAGGGATGCCCATCCCGAGGACTGGGCCATAAAGATAAAGATGTGACAAATGGGGAAGAGAAAGCTGTTAGATAAGGAATGTGAAGATTCCCCCACTCAGTATAGCAAATTAAGTGAGACAGCCGAGAACTAACCAATCATAAAGAAACTGGTGGAGCTTTAGAATAATTAGGGAAAGAAGGTATATATTCCCTGGACACGACTCCACTTGGCTTCCTTGCCCCTCCCAGGCCTGGTTCCTTGGCCTGGGAGTTCCACTTTATTTCTGCTCTTTTTCTCCTCAATAAACTTTTTCTTTCCGGGCCTCCCTGGTGGCGCAGCGGTTGAGCGCTGGGTTGCGAGGCTGCTTGCGGCCTCTGTGGCGCCGGTTCGATCCCCGGCTGCTCCCCAGTCACCGGAGGAGGGTCCCACATGGCGCGCAGACCTCTCCTGCCGCCCGCTGCTCCCCTCAGCAGTGTACTTCGGTCCTTCTGCCTGCTCTGCTCCGCTCTGGCTCTGGTGAATTCTCTCACCCTCCCGCGCTTCTGACTGTACCCAGTGCTTGTATAAACAAACAAACGAAACAATAAATAAATAAATAAACATGCCTCTTAAAAAAAATAATAATAATAATAATAAACTTTTTCTTTCTCTAAACAAACCTGCCTCTTCTCGCTTGCTTGCCTGAGAGTCTGCGAAGTTCCTGCTGCAGCTTCGTGAAAACACCAACCCGTGGGGGTCTAGTGGCTGGGACTCAGCGCTGCGCTTGCAGCCTGGGGTCTGTTCCTGGCTGGGAGACTAGGCCTGACAATTCCGGTATCAGGGTGTCAGTCAAACTGTAGGCAGCTGACTTCTCAAGGAGGCACTACTGGTCTTCATGGTCTTCCTCCACTTGTTGACATTCTGAACCTTGGGAGTCAGCCCCCTCTTTCCTAGCTTTCAGTCCTAATGCCTCACAGAATTTATACCAGCTTGTCCCACATCTGTCACATGGGCTTCCAAGAATCCAGAGGTGGAAGAGATCCATTGGGGGACTTTCAGTGTCAGTTCTGAGCATTCAGGAGCCCCCTCTTCCATCCAACTACTTCACCCTCCTTTGACTCTGCAGTGCTGGATGCTTCTCCAGAGCAGGCCTAAAGCGGGGTGCTTTGGTAGGATGGGGTTATGAAGGTTTGCCCAATGAGAGGGAGAGGGTCAGCAGTGATGGAGGAGAGTAGTGGACTGTCTAAAGTCAGAGCTGTAAAATATCTTAAAGTCATTTTTCTTGGAAGGAGGGAGACTACAAACAACTCCCCAAAGAAACAGCTCAGCTGTAACATGTTAGGTGTTTTCAGCCTTTTGAAACAGTTACATAGTTTTAGAGACTAAGGCCTGGGGCTCTAGGCAGTTCTTCCTGGTTCTGGGAAATCAAGGGTTCTTTGGGAAGATTCCATTCCTTCCTCCCTCCCAGAACAAGAAGGCATTGTTTACCAACAATGGACTTTGTTAAGTGTGAATGATTAGCAGCCCTTTGCCCTGTAAACAGAGCTGGAGCTTTCTAGTTCTGAAGGGGAGTGTAAATCCAGACTCTAAGAGTTTATGGGCATTGTGACCTTGGGAAACACAGAACTTCAGAATCATGATTAAAAGTGGGAGTGATAAAAAGATGAAATAAAACTATGTTTAAAATGCATGCAGAGGGCCTCCCCAGTGGCGCAGCGGTTGAGTGCTGGGTTGCGAAGCTGTCCGCGGCC